GGAAACCCTAAGCTCGTGCCAGGCTTCGGCCTCGACCTTTCCATTTCACCAAGATTCTCTGACTCAAACTGGCCTTAAGATTGCATCAGGAATCTATTTTCAGACAGACGAGACTTGCAAGTATCAAACTTAGTCTTATTAATTGATATATTAAGTATCAGTTGCACCTTTTTACCAAGGTGTGTTTGAACTAAGAATCTGACGTTTCCCTCAGGTGTAGATCTGACTGAATATGCAAATAGTTCCATAAATTTAATTCCTTATGTCTCTTCTCTGTACTGAGTTAAGCTTTAACCCTTTCCTATACAAATAGTGTGTGTGTGTGTGTGTGTGTGTATGTGTTAGACCAGTTTAAGTGTTTATGTAGTATGTTAGACTAGTTTAAGTGTTTATGTAGTTAATAAAACCTTACTTGTATCACACTTGACGTTGTTCATTGTTTGCTCATAACTGGAGTCACTTAATCATGCAGATTTATGCTACAAGCTTTTGTAGAATTGTACAGTAAGAAAGTTATTTCCCTTAACCAGGAAATTAACGTTCTTAGAATTGACAAGACAGTTGACCCTGAGAGGTCAGCTAAATATCTACAGCGGATCTAAATATTCATAATTAATTATAACTAGTTATGATTAATTATTCATATTTCCTCATGAGCTGATTCGTTACACAATATAAACCATCTTTTGTCTTTTTAACAATGTATACTCACACCCAGACATCGTACTTTAAAGAAATCAATTAATTTCTAAAAAGAAAAGACTCTGTTTCGCTCTCATTATCTTCCTCCATCTCTTCCGATGCAACCTGTGACTTTCTCGTGACTTTGTCTGCTTGAGCAAAACTTTGGAACCAGACCAGACTGGATCTTTTCTGTATTGTTGAAGAGTTGCTAGAGGATTCTCTCGAGGAAGGAGAGACGTGCTGAAGGTAGAGCGGGAAGCTAAAGGTCACATCCCAAACAGGTTCACAAACTCACCGTCGCAGTCTCCGAGATGTGAGGTGTTTCCATATTCAACGTCCTGCACGAAAGGTAATCTGCAAACCAGGAGAAAAACGGATTTGAACATTAACCGCAAATTCACCGATTAGATACACGACACACATTCTATGCAGATACGTGAATGCATGCACTTCTAGTTATGCAAACTCAATTTCATGCGTCATTGCATTTAGAAATGTGTCCGAACACAATTCAAAACACATTCGACTGCTGTTTTTGTTTTCAGGTCAATAGCTGATATGACAGAGAGAAATTTTACTGAGCAAGTTAGTTAAACTGTCATGTTTACCAAGATACGTGAATAATAATACATCTGGTTTAAAGGTGAACAGTATATATTTTTTATATTATAGTAGGAATATGGAAATATGCAAACACGGTAGAACTACCAAAACATTCCCATCCAACATGTTCTAACTGGAACATTTGTTTTCCAATTAAGTCAAGAAAACATTGTTTGAATGTCCTCTGAACGTTATTTCTGAATGTTATCTGAACATTCAAAAGTCCAGTTTTTAAAAATGTTTAAAAATATATATTTTAAATGTTTTTCTTGGCTAAGGGAACATTCCATTTGATCAGTTTACAAACATTATGGGTATGTTAATTTCAAAGTAGTAACATTTAAAAATGTAGATGAACTAAAACATTTCAGAAAAAAATGTGTAAGTATGTATGATATACAAGTAAAGTTTTTGTGGTAACATTTTGAGACTATTATTATTAAAGATCACATAACTTTGAATGAATGTTACTGGAAGAACATTTGTTCAAAACGTTAATAGAACCTTGCCAGAATGTAGCCAAATTACAGTTATTTGGGTTAACACATAACACATTGCTTCACACACAAGCAATGGCATGAGTGTGAGGGCGGGGCTATATGTTTGATTGGCCAATGACAGATGTGCAGAGTGTTTTGGAAACCTGTGTAAAAACATTTACATCTGGTGACCTTTAATTGCGTAATAATTTGAGGGTAACTCTATTGCCCCCTTGAGTTGAGGATTAGAGGCATGTCAAATACAACAGGGCAGCATGCATGCAACGGCAAGCATTTATATTTGTGTAGAGTATGTTTCTGGTTTTCTATTTAACCTGGTGCCGGGCCTCAGGAGTGAGCAGATACTTCCTCTGGTCCAGCCGCAGTATGGATCTCTGGACGCAATGCAGTTTCTACACACACACACACACACACACACACACACACACACACACACACACACACACACACGCACACACACACAATGTTTGTCAATGTTATTACAGAGGACAATACTAACCTCCTCTATAACGAATACAGGAAACAAAACTGGAGAACAGAAATTATGATTTATAGAGACTGAAACAGAGAGAGAGACAGACATGACTCAGACATTCAGCTGCAGTCTCATATTTTTTCATATCTGTCTCTCCAGCTATTCAAGGTCACTTCTCTAGAAACATAAAATTATATACATAAAATTACATTATATATATATATATATATATATAAATGTATTGTAATGTATTTTTCATAGGAATACCAAAATAACACATAAAATAAATAGTAAATTAAATAGAATTTTTACCTAAATTTGGCATGTATTCAAATTGAAATATAATGCTTTTACTGCTTATAAAAATGTAAATTTTAAAGTGGGCAGATTCCAAACAGCAATAAATAGAATAAAATTTTTCAATAGCCTTATACATAATTACCATTTCACAATTACAATTTGCCATTTAAATTTATATTATTTAAAACAATGCATTTACGTTTAGTACTGTATTCTTTCTTTAGCATCTATGTGAGCTTGTGCATGGAGCAAAAGAAGGCTTTAAAGTTGTGTACAGTGTAAAAAAATCTAGCGTAGCGTTAGTTCTGGCAGGTCACGTTAGTCAAGCTCGTACCAGTTGACTCTCAGCTTATCCCCATCTACCTATGGAAATACGACACCTATCTAAGCATTCGCATTGCTCAATAGCTAATTACCCTCCTCCATCCCCAACTCCTCCTCTGTCAGTCAGGATTCAGCCTTCTGATTCTCCTTGAATCAGACTAATTCTAAAATGTGTACATAAAATTATAGAACTTTAACCATATCTGCAATACATTTATGTTGGTTCTGTTCTGTTTACCCTGGGGGGTTATTGCTGCTCTCCTTGCTCTCATCCATGCTAGGCTGCATGGATGCTCAGGGAGTTCTTGCCCAGAACAGAACCATACCACCAATCCACACTGTATGCTAACTGTCAAATATATTTGACGATAGTGGTACTGACAGAAATGATTTTTTTTGAAGTTGCAAATAAAAAAAGATTATTTGAGAATATTTTACAAGAAAATACTTCAGTCTTTCTACTTCAAATTTTCATGTTAAATTCAATGTGTTACTTGTGGTTTCTCTGTACTGTAATTATTTGTAGAATTTAATCAATTTTTTCTAGTGTAGCAATTTCTGAGCGAACAAGTAAATCCTGCACATTGTTTCCATGCGTGTACCACCCATAGCAACACGGGCTGCTGGTGCAAGAGTCATTTGAGCAGCACATGGTGCTGCAGATGTACAAAGTGGATTGGAGAGACTTGAACTGGTGCAGATGGTACTGTACCGCATCCCGCAAGACGAGAGAGAATGTCAGCAGACTCAATCAAAGCCTCTTCCATTAATCACGGCTGAATTACACCAGAACTTTACTGCTTCACAAGAAGAGACCGTTTCAAATGTGCCATACGGGAGACGGGCCAGAAGGAGTGTGTGTGTGTGTGTGTGTGTGTGTGTGTGTGTGTATCTGAAGGAAATTGTAAAAGCTGGGTCACAGTAATTTCAAAGCCGCTGATGAAGCAGTGTGCGTTTGGGTGGCACAATTTACTTTAAGATGGAAAACGAGAGCGTGTGTGAATGAGAGTGTGTTTAATCAGTTTACAGACTGAAGGTGTGTGTGTGTGTGTGTTCTTACTTCATGCATCTGGAGTGCAGTTGGCAGCGTGCGACAGGCACTCGCACCACGCAGGAGTGGAAGGCCAGCAGGAGTGTGTGACTGGGTTTGTCCAGGGTCAGAGAGAGAGGCTGCCTCGCCTGCACAGAGTCATCACCGCACCTACACACACACACACACACACACACACATTGAAGTCATCAGTTCAAGCCCTTGTGCACTTTTACAACCAAACATTTCCTAGAACACGGATACACACACTCATTAAAACCCAACAGCTTCACATCAGCGTCTCCATGAGTCATGAACACATACAGTGTGACCACCCGCACTCAGCAGCGGGGCGGAGACATTCTACCTCATTTCACATGCGAAGAGGTTAGCCAATCACTACAGAGGTTATTTATGTATAGAACATGCATTATATGTCATTTACATAGTCTTACAGGTACAGTAGCAAAATGGTGTCAAAGAGAGTGAAAACCTAAAGAGATTTTCCAAAAGACTAATAGGATGGAAATTGGAAAATGAAACTGAGGACAAAATTATAGAATTAAAACAATATTCCCAAGAAAAGGAAGGAGGAATTAAAAAAAAAATACATTTTAAACATCCACTCAAACCAAAGTAGTGAGTTATTCAAAATTCACCCTTTTATATTTAATTGTGATATTGTGATGAAGAAAGTTAACCAATATGATTTCCATTTTAAAAATGTATAAAATGGTATATAATTAAAATTTTTTGATTTAGATTATTTTAACTATTTTGTATATAATTTTACTAGATTATGTTTAGGTAGTTTTTTTTTTACGAATGAATGAAAGTAGTCTTTAATGCTCACATAGGCTGCGTTTATTTGCTGAAAAATACAGTAAAAACAGCAATATTGTGATATATTATTACAATTTACAGTAAAATAACTCATTTTAAAATTTGTAATTTATTCCTGTGATTCAAAGCTGTATTTTCAGCATCATTACTCCAGTCTTCAGTGTCACATTATCCTTCAGAAACCATTCAAATATGCTGATTTGCTGCTCAAGAAACATTTATTTATGATTTGATTATTATCAGTGTTGATAATGTTTGATGATCAGAACAGCATTTCTTTGAAACAGAATTTCTGCGAAACAATGTAAATGTCTTTGCTGTCACTTTAAATCAATTTAATGTAAATAATTGCTGAATAAAAGTATAATAAACAATAAAACATAAATAAATAATGAACAGCTAATTTACGGACCAAGACTTAATTTCTCCAGAATGCACTACCCATTCAATTTCTGACTTGTAATTGAGTAAATTCCACATCCTGTCATTTAACTTTAACTTCCTGAGGGGTGTTGCCAACTTTCCAACTTGTGAACAATTTCATAAATTCTGAATTTCGTCCAGCCTTGTTCTCGATCCAATTTCCTCACTCTTTCTCTTCAGTAATCTCCTTTTCTCTTTCTACTGTCTGTGGCTATAAAAAAGTGGCAAACAGCCCAAAAAACACAGTTTGGTATGTTTCCAACACACATTAACTGTCAAGCTGCTAATAAGGCATTAAATTACCGCAACATCTCTATGACAACACCGGTGTCTCAGAGAAACTCCCCAACAGTAGCTCTACAGATATCAGACATGTAATCTAAACACTGATAAATAGCTGGAAGACAAATGAGACATATTAGAGGAAGTTGTGTGAGAGTTTTGGATGGCATCCAGAGAACACCTGAGGCAAGACAGAAGGTCAAGCAGACACAGTGATCTCTTTGTTTCAGGTGTGTGTGTGTTTCTCAGCGAGCGCTGTGTCCTGCTGAGAACCTTATCTCAACCGCCACACAACTCGCCTTCATCTCCCAGCATGCATCTCTCTGAACCTAACCGTTCTTCCTCCAGACAGGTATTGCCTTTCATCTTCAAAACCCCAGCCATGTTTTCATCCATCAGAGCGCCACACGCTCACACGCGCACACACACACACACACGCACACACACACACACACACACAAAATAATCAGAAACCCCGTTGAATCGTTTTTCTTCCTTTTGAGGACATTTTCAGAGGCGTTGTGTGTTTGTTTGTTTGTTTGTGGATAAAAAGCATGGATTTATTTCTTCAGTTGCATCTGATACGGAATATCTTTTACTCTTTGACAGTGCTAAAAGTTTTAATACAAGGCTAAACATCAACAACAGTTAACAACTGTGGGAAATAAAAAAGGATTTTTGGAGATAAATGAAGTCTGGAAACCGATTAAAGGATGCTAAGGACAAAAACAACTTGATCTCCGCTCCTGACTTTTCAAAGACATACTCTGTGTCCGAATCCTGCAACAAGCTACACTCTTAAAAATAAAGGTGCTTCAAAAGGTTCTTCAAGCGATGCCATAGAAGAACCATTCGGTCAAAGGTTCTTTAAAGAACCATCTCTTTCTTACCTTTTTGTAATCTGAAGAACCTTCTTTCGCCACAAAGAACCTTTTGTGAAACAGAAAGGTTCTTCAGATGTTAAAGGTACTTTATGGAACCATTTAGACAAAAATTTTCTTCTATGGCATCGTGAAGCACCTTTATTTTTAAGAGTGGACCTTATGAGAAAGCAGGGAGTCATCAATGCATGTCCAAAACCAATGTAACATTTTGTCTACTAAGATGCTTTTATCTTTTTGGAGGCAGCATAGATAGCTCTCTCTTGGGTTGTCATATTCTTAATTAAGGAAATTGTTTCGCAATACAATTTTTCTGAAAAGTTATCTTTAAATCTGCAAATGAGGCAATGTCTAATTAAATATGCACTAATTTGCATATAATTCCAGAACTGAAATATGAACATTGGATAAAGCAAAGTTCAAAATTCATTTTGTTGACATATCAGAATGAAAGGTTTTTGCAGGATATCTCCTTTTATCACTCCATAAATCAGAAAACACTATCAACAATTAGAAATAAAATCACCACCATATTTAACATTTACAGCATTATTAAATTGGCTAACACTATTGGATAAGAACTGAACTGAGCTGATGATGACTTTGTTGTGTTCTATAGTGCCGCTTTACATTTACAGTTTTTGATCTTTACACAGTTATTGAACGGAACTGAATCAACACTGAACTGGCTTCAGCTACTGTTTTTTTTCTTTTAGACCTGCTTTACAGAAGAATTGATCTCTGTTTGCATTTTTGAATCATTTTTTCCCATATAAAATATTCTCAGTAAAGCTGCTTTGAAACAATCTGATATATAAAGCACTATGTAAATAATGGTGACTTGAGTTGGTTTAATATTTATCAGGCAAATTATATAAAAACCAACCCCTCTTCAGAAACCCTAAGAATATAGATAAAAACTGTATGGTTTTGCCTGTATTGTGTGGTTCAAACAAAAAAATCCCTTCACCTTTCTGGGTTGTAGCCCTCCAGCTCTTCCAGAAAGGTATTGGTGTTGGAGTATGGGTTCTCCGGGCTGGGTGTGATGAGGAACTTGAGAACGGTTCCCCTGGTGGATCCGAGGAACACCACAGTCCGATTGCGATGTGGGCCTGCCTCAGTGTCCACCACCATAGTGTTCAACTGGTACCTTAAAAGTGAGGGAAATCAAACAATATGCACACCATTACAGAAGCGTATTGCTTTTATAAAACAGTTGCAACATCAATATGATGAAAGACAATAAAAGAGAACGTTTCAGCCAAGAATCTATTTCATCATGCTACATGTTTACAGTAGCCAAATAAAATGGGGCTTTAAAATCAACACGAAACTGCATTTGCAAGCCATTTTGCAACCATAATGTGATATATTTCCAAGAGAAACAGAATATTGAATAAGAAAAAACAATGTAACACTGTATTCTTTTCCCCACTCACATGGCCTATTTACAATTCTGATGAATAAAACAATCCTTTCAGAGGTAAACCAAGTTATTACAATTTGAATAAACCTTGCAAAGAGATATTTTCTTTAGAATAGCACTCACTGATGAACTGTGCACTGAAACATTAAGAAAGTAAATAGGGTTCATTTTGATCCGTTGAATTCAGCTGATGGTCACATTTTGTCATTTAATAGTTTCAAACATAAATCAGATTTTAGTGCTGCCGCTATCTGTTTTAAACCATTCTTGGTGTATTATTCTTAATACAGCTTATGAAATAATTAAAAAGGGATGTAAGAGATAAGATTTGTAAATACTCTCTCTGTTAAGACTTAAGAAGATTAGGTGTAAAAAGGCTTATTTGGATTAAAGTCAGCAAACACAGAGGAGTTTCACCAGCGTCTCTGACGGCTCACAATAGTTTTTATTTTCTGTGTACTTTTACTTTGTTGTAATCGTAAAAAAAAAACCCTGAGCTGACCATTTTTCAAGTCAGTGAAATCTTTATGAGGAGTAATTCACTAACGTTTATTCAAGATTAACATTCAGGCAAAATGGTCTGCTATTGAATGAATCAAATGAACACCAGAGTACCACTCTCCTTCGTGTCAATTTACCTCTAGTTATCTTGAAGCAACCCAGTGGCCATTTCAATCAAATTTTTAAAAGCGAGATGATTTATAGCTACATTTTCCTCCTTGCAGAGAAGCTTTGCTTTGAGCCTGAAGGCCTCAGGCAATTTATTCTCTGCAGAAGCACTTCTGGAGTTCAGATTTATATTTTAACTAAGGGTTTTTTTCCCCACTAACCTTGAGAGACACTATAGGAACGCTCTTAATAGGAATGCTCACAGAATGATGTCCTTTGAGTGTAGGTGCTGCTAACACTAACCACACTACAGCAGAGCTCGGACTTTGATTGCTGATATCTCAGCCAGTTTAAGCAGCACGGCTTTTAGTAGACCTTGAGAATGACGTTTCACCTTTTCAACTCTCTGCAGCACACTTCATATAACAAGCATCTTGGGGTTTACTGATATTTTCCCACAATGCCTGTGTTGAGTAGTGTACTCATCTTACCGGACCATAGTCTTGACTATCCATGGTCTGTGTCCAAGCAAAGGAACCGCTTCATCCATCAGAGGATGAGTTTTGATGAAATTCAGCACTTCGTCGGGAAGGGTGTTGGAGGAGCTGAATCTCGAACCCTGGACAGCACATCCTCCAGGCCTAGGAAAGTAAAAGAAAATAAAAGAACCATATTCATGATATAAATATCCAGAGACAGATAGATAGATGGATGGATGAACAGAATGACAGATAGAATGATGGATGGATCCATAGATGGAATGATAGATCAATAGATGAATGGATGGATGAATAGAAAGATGGATGGATAGATGAATGGATGGATGACTAGAACGAAAGGTCCATAGATAGATAGATAGATACATAGATAGATAGATACATACATACACAGACAGACTGATGGATAAATAGAATGACATAGAATGACAAATGGATGGATGGAATGATAGAACAAAAGATAGAGGAATGGATGGATGGACGAATGATCAATAGATGTGGATGGATGGATGATCAGTAGATATATGAATGGATGGATGAATAGAATGATAGATAGAATGATGGATGGATAGATGGATGGAATGACCGATTGACAGACTGATAGATGGATGAATAGAATGAAAGATAGAAAGATGGATAGATGGATGGATGAATAGAACGATAGATCGATAGATAGATAAATGGATGGATAGATAGAGAGATAGATTGATAGATAGATGGATGGATAAATAGAATGACAGATAGAATGACGGACGGATGAATGGAACAATAAGTCAATAGATAGATGAGTGGATGGATGAATAGACCGATGGATGAATGAATGGATGGATGAATAGAATGATAGATAGAATGATGGATGGATGGATGGAATGACCGAATGACAGATTGATAGATGGATGAATAGAATGAAAGATAGAACAATGGATGAATGGATGTATGGAACGATAGATGGATGGATGAATAGAACGTTAGATCGATAGATAGATTAATGGATGGATAGACAGAGAGATTGATAGATAGATGGATGAAGGGATGAATAGAATGACAGATAGAATCATGGATGGATGAATGGAACGATAAGTCAATAGATAGATGAGTGGATGGATGAATAGACTGATGGATGGATGGATGAATAGAAAAATAAATCGATGAATGGATGGAAGAATAGAACGATGGATGGATGGATGAATAGAATGATGGATGTATGGATGGATGATGAATGAATTGAACAGTAAATCAATGAATGGATGGATTAATGGAACACTGTATGGATGGATGGATGAATAGACCGATGGATCGATATAGATAAATGGATGGATGAATAGAATGACAGATTCTATGACAAAACAATGGATAGATGAATAGAATGATAGATAGAATGATGGATAGATGAATAGAATGATAGATAGATGGATAGTCTTCTAATTTTGTCTCTCATAGTTGAGGTATACCTATGATGAAAATTACAGGCCTCTCTCATCTTTTTAAGTGGGAGAACTTGCACAATTGGTGGCTGACTAAATACTTTTTTTCCCCACTGTAGATGGATGGATGGATGGATAGATGGATAGAATGATGGATGGATGGATGGATAGATGGATAGATAGATACCTGGGTTTAGGTACTAGTTCATCAGGTACAGGTGTCCATATGGATTCTGGTGATTTCTGCTCTTTGAATCTGCCCTCAAACACACGTGCCAGCTGCTGCATGTCAAACGCACACACCGCTGAGCCGGGGATGCTGGGTAGACACAGAGCAGCAAGAGGGTCAAGACACATCACTGATCCAATCCACACCTCAAACACACACACACACACTCACAGTCTGACACATTTTCACAAGCACACACACACTGTTTCCCCGAAGCCAAAGTGACATGTCACAACAAGACCATTCGTTTTTCTGGAGCTGACAGACTAATCGACCAATCTGCCTCTGCTGCATCTCATTAGAGAGCGTCTCCACAGCCACTCACATCAGATTGATAAAAACTCAACTCAACGAGCTCACCACATTTGCATACGGCTATTATATAGCACATAAGCATTATACATATAACAATACAACACATATATGGACTGCTTTTTGCCTTTTCGTGATGCTTTTGGTCACTATATGCTTTCAATGTATGAAAAAATATGAAAAACATCTGAGTTTCATGAAAGAAAGAAAAACCTCTTTGAAAAGATATGAGGATGAATAGATGATGACAGTTTTATTTTTGGGTGAATTCTTCCTTTTAAAAGCAAAATATTATAGCTTGATGCACATGAAACAAAAAGGAAATCATAGATCAGTCAGACACAGAAGGAAGCTGTAAAATTAACTGCCAGGATGGGCAAGTGTACAGCCCGATGGTGTGTGTGTGTGTGTGTTCTGGTCTGCAGGTGTTCACCATGTGTTCCAGAGCAGCTTGTCTCGCTCTCTCCTCCACTTCCAAGCAGTGGGAGGTCAGATGGACTGTTGAGGAAACTTGGATCCTCTTATCTGTCCAGATTTCAGCTTTTAGCAACAACAAGACAACAAATCTTATCCAAGGCTTGTTGTGAACTGAAGCCTTATGCAAAACATGAAAGGATCAATTCTGGTGTGCTTTGACGCATACACACGGAAATTAATACTCATAAACTACTGTTCAGATGCTTGGGGTGAATAAGAAATTAATTTTTATTCAGCAAGGGTAAATGAAATGGATCAAAAGTGACAGTAAAGACATTTATAATTTTACAAATAAAATGCATTTTTATTTATTAGATAATCATGAAAAAGTATCCGTTTCCACAGAAATATGAAACAGCACAATTGCTTTCAATATTTATAATAACAACCAAAGCAGCATATTAGAATGATTTCTGAAGGATCATGTGACACTGAAGACTGGAGTAATGATGCTCCATTCAGCTTTGCATCACAGAAGTAAATAACATTTTATAATATATATTAAAATATAAAACAGTTATTTTAAATTGTGTTTACAGTATTTTTGATTAAATAAATGCACCCTTGGTGAGCATAAGAGACTTCCCTTCTCTTAAAAACTACAATAAAAAAATCTCACCAACCCCAAACTTTTTGAACGGTAGTCCAAATAAAACTATTTTCAATTGTATTTTAAGTAAAATTATCTAAACATAATCTAGTGAAACTATATAAAAATGAGTAAAATCATATACATTTTAATTTATTAATATATTAGATTAAGTTTTATACATTTTAAAAGATGATAATCATTATTCGTTTTCTTTTAACACAATTAAGTTTATTATTATTACAAAAGAATAATAATACCCCCTCTCCTTTTCTTGGAAATATTGTTTAGATTAAACGTATAAATGAATGTAGGTTTTTACTAGGTCTCAATTTCAATTTCCATCCTATTATTATTTTGCTAAATCCCTTTCATTTTGTAAAAAAATCCATGACATTTACCTCCAGGACATGTTATAATTTTTGTTGGGACAACAAACGTGTAAATATTAACAATGGGTTTGATTCTTGTGATGTTGTGTGAATTGTAAAACAGGAGCAGGCTGTTGGTCTGTGTCTGCGGTCACACATGGCCCCATCAGCTGCTCTCAGAACATGTGTGTTTGGAGCGCGGTGACAGATTTGGCGAGTTCTGTGTGGTGTCCCGCTGAAGCTGGAGAGAGAGGGCTTGTCGGCACCCCTCACCTGCATCTGAGCCAACACTGGACAACATTTGGCCAGTGCTGGGCCAAAGATGAACCAAACCTCATGGTCCTTTATCTGAAATGACAGTGCTGTGGCAAATCCAAGCCCTCGCACCTCCAACAAAACTCAAAAAGAGCCTCAAACAAAACAAACTTCATAGACTCAATCCAACAAACTTTGGTGAATCCACTAAATATTTCAACATCAAAAAAAAAGAAGAAAAGCTGGTAGGCTGGTTTTAGCTGATCTTTCCGTCTGGTCATAGCTGGTTTAGCAGGCTTGTTTTAGAGGGAGACCAGCTGACCAACCAGGCAAAACCAGATGAACACCAGCTTGACCAGCTGAAACCAGCCAATCAGCATATGCTGGTTTTAGCTGTTTTTTTCAGCAGGGAGGTTACTTTTTAAAAAAATTTGTTTTCTGGTGGTCTAAAATAAATATATTTCTTTCAACAGTGACTAAAAAGCATCAATAAAAGGTTAATTATTATAATTTTACTCAATATTTTTGCATGCCATTTCATCTGTATTAGAGTACAGTGTTATTTTAGTATTTTATATACTATTAAACGCATGCATTACTTTGAATTAGGCTTTATTTGCATATTATTTTAATTTTAATTGTATGTGCTTTCCTGAGTTTTATTAGTTTTTTATATTTCTATATAGCTTTCATTTATTTTTATTTCCGTTTCAGTTTTAGTCATTTTACTTCAACTTATCTCCGTTTCTAATTTAAGCTCTTTTAAGTTTAAGTTTTTCATATAATATTTATATTTGATCTTATTTTAATTACCAAAAATATGACTTTATTTCTTCTGCGGCACATAAAAGAAGATATTTTGAAGAATGTTTGTAACCAAACAGTTTTGGTTCTCATTAACTTCCGTTATATGAAAACAACAACATCAAAACAATGTCAAAATCAAAGAGAAACGAAGCAGTTTGTTAACCAACGTTTTTCAAAATATATATTCTTTTGTGTTCCACGGTAAAAAGAAATTCACCGAGGTTTGGAACGACATTATGGTGAATAGATGATGAAAGAATTTTAATTGTTGGGTGAACCATGCAGCAAGAAAGCTCACTTATATATAAATTAACAAGTTATATTTTTTTTATCAGACACTGAAAAGAAAATGTTACTCAACCCAATGGAATCATTTAGGGGAAATCATTTTGATGCAAGCTTGAGTTTGAGACCATAGCTACATTATCCTGATGACAAGGATGTGCAAATGAGTCCTTCCACCTTCCACACGGTGACTAAATAAAACTGAAGCAGATAAGACAGCTCCAGAGCAATCATCGCATTCAGATATGATGAGGTCTGCTCATTCAATTCTAATCATTCCATTTCTGCTCAATTCCGCTCTAATATCCCCCACTAATAGATACACGGAAAATACGGGCTCTGATCTGTTACATATGGGCTATTGGTAATTGAAGGGCTTTGGGAATGAAGGGTCTCATTTGGAAAATTTGGAAAATGCGTGCAGATTGATGGACAGAGATGACGCAGTGGGCTTGGTGTTAATGGACTGATTTGGAGACGGGCCTGAGCCCGCCGCCTGCCGTGCTTATGGAGGACATCTGTGCCAAAGATTACACCAAATTAACAGAGATGTCACTGGATGGCACCTTCCTCTTCATCTCTTTACTGCGCTTCCCTGAGAAGCACAACCTTATAATTACCTCAACTATTTAAAAAGAATAAATGGAAAAACAATAATGTTCTAAAAGTGTCATTAGGGCACGGACACCTCTCTCATTTTACCTCAGCAGGTCACTAACAATGAAGGTGATTAAAAGAATAACGCAATGTTCCGACACACTGTGGCTTCGTTAGTAGTGTTTGCTGGTTACTGTTCATAATTAGAAGGATAGTTCAACCAAAAATGAAAACTCTGTCTTCATTTAGTCTCCCTCATGTTGCTTTGAATCTGCATGACTTACTTTCTTCTGCAGAATACAAATTAAGATATTTTGATGAATGTTATTTTAAAAACATTACTGGATCTAAACTTTTATTTAGCGAAGGTTATTTTTTGTATTTTTGTATTGTATTGTATAATTACCAAAAATGATTTAAAAATCAAATCAAATAAAAATGATGCAGCAAAACTGTTTCCAACATGGCTAATAATCAGAAATATTTCTTGAGCAGCAAAGCAGCATATTAGAATGATTTCTGAAAGATCATATGACACTGAAGACTGGAGCAATGATGAATTTGCATCACAGGAATAACTTACATTTTAAAATACGTTCAAACAGAAAACGTTTCTTTTAAATTGTAATAATATTTCACAATATTACTTTATTGTATTGTAATTTGATCAAATAAATGCAGCCTTGTGAGCATAAGAGAGAAAAAAAACCTTATGAAACTCCAAACTTTTCCTTCACAAAAGAGTTTTGTATGTGCGTTGCCATTGCAAGAACTGAGACGAATAGGAGCCATTTGGAGAACGCCTCTTAAGCCAATAAGCTGTCAGAAGTTTGTGGCCTCCTAATCCAGCCAATGAGCTGTCAGATACAGTGGTCTTGTAAACCTCAAGCTGGACAAACGAGCTCTACTTCCTCCCTGTTCTCTCTGGCTCTCGGCCCTGGTCACCTATCGTCCACTACTTTAAAGGCTTTCTGGCGCCGTGCCGCGGTGTAACTGCCCAGCCCAGTGGGCTTGAGGTGAACGGGCCAAGATCACCTCATCACACAAAGCTCTGCGGCAAAGCCTCTCATGGCCGTTTGAGACAGGACACCACGGGGGGCTGAGAAATGAGGTCTAAACGAGAAAAATGGACATGGCGCAAAGCAGGAGGAGCCTCATGCTGTTTGTACTTTGGCATAAAAGCTCAGCCATAACTCTAGAGTGAGTAACACAGCCAGACCACAGCACACAATAACTCTCCCTTCAGATGCTACTGCAAACTACTGTGAAAAATGAAGCATTTATGATATTTAAGGTAAGATATTTAAGAAACACATTTAAAACAACAGATAGCTTGGCTACAGTAAACAACTTAAGTTAAGCTAAAGAACTATATTACTTGCCAACTTTGTACTTTT